CCTCTGAAGAGCAGTCATCATAACAACAGTAATGAGATAGGAGTGGAGGCAAAGCCCCAGCATTGATTTGGAAGATAGGAAGCCCACGCCGCAATAGGAAGTTCTTTGAAGAACACATCTATTAGCATAGCAGATGAAATGCACGCTTGGCCCAAGACTCTTTCCTTACTACCTTCCTTTGCTGGTGGGTCCGGGTCTCCAGCAGCAGCAGCAGTAATCCCAGCTTCTCGGAACCACAGTAGCAGGAACAGTGGCAGCCAGAGCACAGAGCACAGCGGGCCACGGCGTTGGGAAAGGGGCCAGAGTTGACAGGGCTTGCGCAAAGCAGCTCTAACTGAGCCAGCAATCTCACAGCCTCCAGCGAGACCTTTCACCGTGGAAGGCTTCCTTCTGGTCCCTGGGGTGCATCAGAGCTTCCTGACATCTGTGTCTTAGCCATAGAGTCACACTGTGTCCAAAGCCTTCTACGTGCTCTTGGTTGCCTCTTCCACTTACGTCTGTTTCTCAGCAATGACTGGGAGGGGGGGGTGTGTGTGTGTGTGCTATCTCCGCATGTTACATCCCACGTGTTTTAAAGCTTTTTGGGTGCCTTAACTTTGTCACGTCTGAAGGTCATTACGCAAGCTTGACTGTTAATAATTTTCTATTCTAAACTTCTAGTATGAGTGGGATAGTTAGTCTATCAGGCACCAGCAGGTGCCCAGCACTTCCTGTTCATCTGTGGATAGACCAAAGCTGACTGAGGGTACTTCTGTCTGGAAAATGGACTGTTGTGTTCTCTGTTTTATAATCTGGGCTACATGAGACACTGTCTCAAAAAACTAAAAGTGTGGAGGCTCATAGAGACTCCAGAGTGAGGCCTTATTCCATCCTGACTCAAGGTCAGAGAGTCTGAGCTTGCTTTACCTCACAAGGGCTGCACAATAGATGTTTCAGCTCAAGGTGTGGTTACCAGGTACCTTACACTTCAAGGCCTAATTACAAGATGCTTTGCCGTAAGACTTGGTTACCAGGTGTTTTGAAAATTGAGGAAGGGTCTACACTTGATAGTACATTGTACCTTGACCTTGAAAGGGGGAGATCTTTTGCCTCTCCCCTTGGTAGTGTATAAAAAGCCCATTAGAAATAAACTCAATGCGACTGGGTATTGACCCAGGGCCCACCTGAAACTAGCCTGTGTCTCTTCCTTTTTCTTCATCTACGTCTATATTTTCTCCTATCTAGTATTTCTCAATTCCTCACTCCCCCTTCAAAGACTGTTTGACAGACCAGGCTGGACCCCGACACAAAAGCCTCTGAACAGCTGTGCAGTGCTGATACATCCCAACACGACTCCAGGTTCACGGACATCTTCCAGCTCGTCTCAGAATGAAGGAGGCTGTTTTGTTTGCTTATTTGTTTTATGAGACAGTGTCTCACCTCATATCCCTGCTGTGAAATAATCCTTTTGTAAACTGTGAGGATGTGTTGCTCCCATTGTTAATAAAAATCTGATTGGCTGATGGCTAGGCAGGATTTGGGGGGCAGAGAGAATTCTGGGAAGAAGAAGGGCGGAGTCTGAGGAGACGCCATGAGACACAGAGTGAGCAGGATGGGAAGTACATACATGAGGTAAACGAGCCTGGAGAAGCACATAGTTTAACAGAAATGGGTTCATTTAAATTATAAGTGTTATTTATTTGTGGTGCTGTTTACTGGGTGAGAGAAAACACGAGGTACATTAGGGAAGAGAAAGGGGGATGTGCAAATTGGCCTGAGGGGGGAATGTGGAGGGGGTCAGGGGAGTGGGTGGAGCCTGCTTTTATGAGTAACCTCAAGCATGCGAATATGGGCTTACTACGTGATCATGCTGCTCACAGATTACGAGGACCACGCAGCACATGGATTATGTAGGACAGAAGGCCCTGGAGTGACTAAGCATTTTGCTTGACTGCTGGACAGCGCATGCACAGTCACGTAGCTGTAAAGTGGCTAGGAATGACAACAATAAGAGCTAGCTAAAAAACATGAACTCTGCAGGTAAATGGATGGGACTGGAAATGATCTTATTGAATGGGGTAACTCAGAAGAAAAACTATTCTCTCTTATCATAGGCTCCTAGCTCCAGGTCTTCAGACATGAGTACATATCCTGGAGTAAGTGCAGAAAGCAGGAAAGTAAAAAGAAACCATTGCTGGGGCAGGAAGGTTGAAAAGTATTAGAGGGGGGATCAGCAGGTGTCCTGGCTAGTTTATGTCAGTTTGCCACGAGCTATAGCCACCTGAGAGGAGGGAGCCTCAACTGAGAAAATACCTCCGAAAGATCAGCCTGTAGGTGTTGTAGCTAAAGAAGCTCCATTTTAATGCTAGGCATCCATGTTGGTACCCACCAACCGTTTGCCTCTGGCTCCAGTCCCTGGAAGATAAGTTCCCAGTAACCCTGACTCAGTGACTCCCACCCACAAATGCACAGCTGTGACTATCTGCTTGTTGTGATATGACTAACTGCCTTTTTTGCTTCTGTAATTTGCCTACACAGATACCCAAAGATGGTTTTGAGTTGCCTTAACCACTCGACTTGGCATAACAGAACAGTTTTTGCTTGCTTACACAGATATTGAAGGTCTTCGTGTGGGTTTCCCCTTTCAAAGCCCTTCCCCATATTCTCTTTCACGGCAATTTCAAATATGGCTCAGAGAGTGTTCATCCTGCTAGCAGTTAACAAATCTTTTCATTATAATTGGATTGAGCCTATGGTCTTTTCCCAGGGGCCACAAACTCCATAACAGTAGGCAAGCCTGTAGGGCATTTTCTTAATTAGTGATTCATAGGGGAGGGTCCCGCCCTTGTGGGTGGTGCCATCCCCGTGCTGGTGGTCCTGGGTTCTGTAAGAAAGCAGGCTGAGCACACCAGAAGGAGCAAGCCAGTAAGCAGCACCCCTCCATGGCCTCTGCATCAGCTCCTGTCTCCAGGACCTGCCCTGTCCTGACTTCCTTCAGGGATGACCACAATGTAGAAGTGTAAGCCACTTAAACCCTTTCCTCCCTGGGTTGCTTCTGGTCAAGGTGTTTAAACACAGCAATAGTAACCCTGAGTAAGACATCAGTGTACAAATAACCTGATAGGAAAGTGGAGAGAAGGGAGGCTCTCATTAGGAAAGAGAAGAGAGATAAATATAGAAGAATGAGGGGAGAGGGTAAAATACGGCTTTCTGAAAGGCCAGAAGGAATCATACTATTAACTGTTAAAACAAAACAAAACAAAAACCCACCATGGCATACCTTAGTCTGTGTATAAATATACGTATATAGTTTAAATGAAATTTTCTCATCTGGGCTAACAATGCTTCCTCCAAGACCAAAGACTATCTAACAAAACCCCAACAGCAGGCATGAGAAGCCCTCTTTTGAGTTGTTGGTCAGAGTTACACAAGAGACTACCAAAACATACTGCCAATTGCTATTGCTTTGGTTGCCCCCTAGTGGTAGAAGGTAAGTCCCTCGGGCTAAAGACACCACCACGAGACCAGCAGGGCACTATAGCCCTAAGCGTACAGCATTGGCAGTTAAGACCATTCAACAGGAGGGAAACTGTGCCTGGTACTGCAAACCTAGCCAACCAGGTCTAGTGAAGTCATGGGTCTTGGAGGAGAGAACTACAACCACCACTTTCCTAAACCAGCATAAGCCCAAACAACAATCTAAACATTTGTCTTTATGCCCACAGATAAACATAGTCCTCGCCTCTCATCAAGGAAGCTCCTCTTCGGAACAGATGGAGGCTAGGTTTGCAGCCGTCCCCTTAGGGCTATACTGCATACATTGTCTTTGTCCCCCTGCCCCTTGGTGCCCGGGTGCAGTCAGCCTTAGATCTAGGTGGCACTCCGAACAAGGCTCAACTGATGGCCTGGCAGGGCATGCACTAGCCCACGTAGGACAGACAAAGACCTCCAGCAGACCTCTAGGCTTGGCCACAGGCTCGTTCACAGGGAACCCAGAATGCAGCATGGAAACAGTCCCTTTCTTTCCTTCTGGATACCAGTCCTGGGAGTTTGGGAGTCTCACCTCTCCTCATTTCCCTAGGGAAGACAGCCGTACCCACCTCACCAGATTTAATTGCACTTTCAGGGTTACCTAACAGGAAAAGGTTTTCCAGCTAAGGTAGGAGCTTTCATTTCATTGCTCCCTCCATGTGCCTCACTCCAGACCTGTCAGAGTGCTTCTCCTCCTCATGCACACAGACAGGGCCCTGATCTCTGCACTGTCCCTAATTCCAAAGAAATAAGTTCTCATGCACCACAAGCTTTTCTCTTCCCAGTTCCCTGTTCTAACTCACTGCTCAGCGAATGGTGCAGGACCACCACAGAACTGGAGTCCAGAGATCATCAAGTAAGAAACTGTAGCAGCTAAAAGGCATTTACACCCCCAGACCCAAAAGTGTCTGGGCTCTACAAAAACAGACTTTAATATAGCCATCTATTACTGTTAAATGTGCTCAACAATTGATCACCTGTGTCTCCTAAATGCTAAACTAATAAGCAAGTGCCTTAAATAATCTACCTCTAATAAACCTTATCTCAGGAAAAAACTAAGCAGAGTACCAAACACTACAGTGGTCACTAATTTTCTCATGGCTGCTTCTTAACATGTTCAAAATTGTTCCCAAGCTCCAGAAACCAGCTTAAATCCATCTGGACAGGTCGGTTCTACTTCAGGTTTTTCTGTCTCACCAGCGTCCTGTCCTGTCAGACACAAAAGTAGGCAGAGTGCCAAGCCAAGAGGAATGGACGGTTCCAGGACAGCAGGACAGCAGGACAGCAGGACAGCCCATCATCCAACAACACCTGTCTACCTCAGAAGGCCCCCTTCCCTAACACCCCTAAGAGCCAACCGACGCCCACCAAGTCAGCTGGAAGCAGTTTTTCAAGGAGAAACGACGGCCCTATTCCTATTCACTCACTTTTTTATAATGAGCAAAAAGTCTGGAATGTTAGGATCCTGCCCTCACTCCTGCACATGCGCAGCTGGGGGTCTTGTGTCTTACGTCATCAGGGGATGCTGGCAACTACATACGTGCGGTGTGGTTGCACAATCTGCGCCCTAAAAGCCGAATGCAGACCCTACCCTCTCTCTCTGTTCTGCTCTGATCTGCTCCCCTCTTCCCCCACCCCACCATCTTTCCCTCTCACCAGGCCTGGTCCCCTCCCCACCCCCTTTTCTCTCCTAATAAAGCGCTGAAAACTAACACCGGGTTCTCTCGTGACTGTGACCTTTCCACGCGGTAACCAGCGCCGTTTATCATCTTTTCACTAGTCATCGCCGATCATTAATCAAGAAAATGTCCTACAGGCTTTCGTGATGGATGCAGTTCCTCAGTTAAGGTTTCCTTTTCCCCGGCACTTCTACCCTATATCAATCAGCACAGGGTGCTTTCAGGTGTAGAAGCAGCCTGTTAGGCCCAGGGTTGCGCAGTGATGGGGAACAGACCACCAAAGTCTATTAAACCAGAAGCAAACTTTATTCCAGAAAAAAAGAAGAAAAGAAAAATATCCCCACAG